TTTTGTCAGGATTTCTTAGAATTTTGACCGGATGTCTCGAGCGAAACGCTTGTTTTTCATAATTTGTTGAGGATGTCTCGAGCGAAACGCTGGTTTCTGCAAACTTGGGGATGTCTCGAGCGGGGGCCTCGTGGGGGGCCAGAATTCAGAGGATGTCTCAGGCGAAATGGGTTTCAGAATTTGTTGAGGATGTCTCGAGCGAAACGCTGGTTTTGCAGAGCCGACCGCGACACGGAAAAGCGCTCCTCGCGCAGGAATTCCGAGGATGTCTCGCGCGTGCCGCGTCCCGCGCGCAGGAATTTTGATTTCTTGGGGTTTTGACAGGATTTCTCGAGCGAAACGCTTGTTTTTCATAATTTGTTGAGGATGTCTCGAGCGAAACGCTGGTTTTGCAAAATTGGGGGATGTCTCGAGCGGGGGCCTCGTGGGGGGCCAGAATTCAGAGGATGTCTCAGGCGAAATGCTTGTTTTCGTGTCCCGCTCGCAGGAATTCCGAGGATGTCTCGCGCGCGTTTCGCGGCGCGTCCTCCTGGCATGTTCCCCCTGTCAATTAGCTCTGGGGCAGCTACTATGTGTTCAGGCAGCTCGAGCTTAAGATCCAGATCAGTTCGGTCAGGACTCGGATGCAAAGGAGGACTCGATCCACGACGCTATAGAGCACAACCGCGGCATGGCACATCGCAATTCAGCACGGTGCAGCACAGCACAGCCCTCGGCAGGGTACATCAAGATCGATACACTCAGCATTGCAACTTGGCACGTTCCTTGGCACGTTCCGTGGGGCGTCCCTTGGCGAGTCCCCCTGGCACGTCGCGTGGCGCGTCCCCTGGCACATTCCGTGGCACATCCATTGGCACGTTCCGTAGCGCGTCCCTTTGGCACGTCCTACGGTGCGACCCCATGGCGCGTCCCCTGGCACGTCGCCTGGCGCATCCCTTGGGACGTTTCGCGGCGCGTCCTCCTGGCATGTTCCCCTTGTCCATTAGCTCTGGGGCAGCTACTATGTGTTCAGGCAGCTCGAGCTTAAGATCCAGATCAGTTCGGTCAGGACTCGGATGCAAAGGAGGACTCGATCCACGAGGCTATAGAGCACAGTCGCGGCATGGCACATCGCAATTCAGCACGGTGCAGCACAGCACAGCCCTCGGCAGGGTACATCAAGATCGATACACTCAGCATTGCAACTTGGCACGTTCCTTGGCACGTTCCGTGGGGCGTCCCTTGGCGAGTCCCCCTGGCACGTCGCGTGGCGCGTCCCCTGGCACATTCCGTGGCACATCCATTGGCACGTTCCGTAGCGCGTCCCTTTGGCACGTCCTACGGTGCGACCCCATGGCGCGTCCCCTGGCACGTCGCCTGGCGCATCCCTTGGGACGTTTCGCGGCGCGTCCTCCTGGCATGTTCCCCTGTCAATTAGCTCTGGGGCAGCTACTATGTGTTCAGGCAGCTCGAGCTTAAGATCCAGATCAGTTCGGTCAGGACTCGGATGCAAAGGAGGACTCGATCCACGACGCTATAGAGCACAGTCGCGCCATGGCACATCGCAATTCAGCACGGTGCAGCACAGCACAGCCCTCGGCAGGGTACATCAAGATCGATACACTCAGCATTGCATTTGCCCGTCACCCAATCAGGTGTCTTTGAAAACGCTGCCATGTGTTACAGTTCTATATTCCTTTCCGGGTTCGTGGGTCGATCATGTAGCCGTTTACCCCCGGATCTGACGGGTCAAGCGCCGGCGAAATTATTTGCGATAAATAACGAGGTAAAGTGCTGATTATTTTAGAAAAAGTGCGTTTTGTGCGTGCCCGCTCGAGGAAAGTTCGCCCCCCATCTCGGATCCTCGATAAATAACGGGGTCCGCAGACCCCCGCTTTCCCTCGTAAAAAAGAGGGTGCGGAGCGTTTTTCGCAGAATCCTCGAAAAATAACGGGGTCTGGAGCCCCGACCGCGACTCGGAAAAGCGCCCCGCGCGCAGGAATTCCGAGGATGTCTCGCGCGTGCCGCGTCCCGCGCGCAGGAATTTCGAGGATGTCTCGACTAATTCGCTTGTTTTGTCAGGATTTCTTAGAACTTTGGCAGGATGTCTCGAGCGAAACGCTTATTTTACATAGTTTGTGGAGGATGTCTCGAGCGAAACGCTGGTTTCCGCAAAATTTGGAGATGTCTCGAGCGGGGGGCCAGAATTCAGAGGATGTCTCAGGCGAAATGCTTGTTTTCGTGTCCCGCTCGCGGGAATTCCAAGGATGTCTCGCGCGGGCCGCGTCCCGCGCGCAGGAATTTCGAGGATGTCTCGACTAATTCGTTTGTTTTGTCAGGATTTCTTAGAATTTTGACCGGATGTCTCGAGCGAAACGCTTGTTTTTCATAATTTGTTGAGGATGTCTCGAGCGAAACGCTGGTTTCTGCAAACTTGGGGATGTCTCGAGCGGGGGCCTCGTGGGGGGCCAGAATTCAGAGGATGTCTCAGGCGAAATGCTTGTTTTCACGTCCCGCTCGCAGGAATTCGGAAGATGTCTCGCGCGTGCCACGTCCCGCGCGCAGGAATTTTGAGGATGTCCCGTAGCGCGTCCCCTTGGCACGGCCTACGGTGCGACCCCATGGCACGTCCCTTGGCACGTCGCCTGGCGCGTCCCTGGGGACGTTTCGCGGCGCGTCCTCCTGGCATGTCCCCCTGTCAATTAGCTCTGGGGCAGCTACTATGTGTTCAGGAAGCTCGAGCTTCAGATCCAGATCAGTTCGGTCAGGACTTGGATGCAAAGGAAGACTCGCGCGCAGGAATTCCGAGGATGTCTCGCGCGTGCCGCGTCCAGCGCGCAGGAATTTCGAGGATGTCTCGACTAATTCGCTAGGTTTTGCAGGATTTTCCGTAGGAGGGCCAAGGAGAGGCCCCGAAGGCTCTGGGAGCGGCGACGACGACGACGACGACGACGACGACGACGACGTCTCTTGGGGTTCTCTTGGACGGTTTGTAGAGTCCACGCTTACATGATCGACGGGTCGAGGACAGCGCGACGACGACGACGTCGCGGTGGCGGCGGCGTCCACCACGACGACAAAGTCTCATCTTAGAGCCTTGCGTGGGGGGGTCTCTTGGGGTTCTCTTGGAGGGTCTCTGGAGGGTCTGTAGAGCCCACGCTTACACGATCGAGGGATCGAGGACAGCGCGACGACGACGACGACGTCGCGGTGGCGGCGGCGGCGACGACGACGACGACAAAGTCTCATCTTAGAGCCTTGCGTGGGGGGGTCTCTTGGGGTTCTCTTGGAGGGTCTCTTGACGGTTTGTAGAGCCCACGCTTACACGATCGAGGGATCGAGGACAGCGCGACGATGACGACCACGTCGCGGTGGCGGCGGCGGCGACGACGACGACAAAGTCTCATCTTAGAGCCTCTCGTGGGGGGGTCTCCGGGGGTTCTCTGGGAGGGTCTCTTGGGGGTCTGCAGAGCCCACGCTTACACGATCGAGGGCTCGAGGACAGCGCGACGACGACGACGACGTCGCGGTGGCGGCGGCGGCGGCGATGACGACGACAAAGTCTCATCTTAGAGCCTTGCGTGGGGGGGTCTCTTGGGGTTCTCTTGGAGGGTCTCTTGAGGGTCTGTAGAGCCCACGCTTACACGATCGAGGGATCGAGGACAGGGCGGCGGCGGCGACGACGACGACAAAGTCTCATCTTAGAGCCTTGCGTGGGGGGTCTCTTGGAGGGTTCTCTTGGGGGTCTGTAGAGCCCACGCGCGCGTGTGGCGGCGGCGGCGACGACGACGACAAAGTCTCATCTTAGAGCCTTGCGTGGAGCGGTGTCTTGGGGTTCTCTTGGAGGGTCTCTTGGGGGTCTGTAGAGCCCACGCTTTCACGATCCGACGACGTCGCGGTGGCGGCGGCGGCGACGACGACGACAAAGTCTCATCTTAGAGCCTTGCGTGGGGTGTCTCGGGGTTCTCTTGGAGGGTTTCTTGGGGGTCTGTAGAGCCCACGCTTTCACGATCGAGTGATCGAGGACAGCGCGACGACGACGACGACGACGTCGCGGTGGCGGCGGCGGCGACGACGACGACAAAGTCTCATCTTAGAGCCTTGCGTGGGGGGGTCTCCGGGGGTCTCTTGGAGGGTCCTCTTGGGGGTCTGTAGAGCCCACGCTTACAGATCGAGGGTCGAGGACAGCGCGACGACGACGACGTCGCGGTGGCGGCGGCGGCGACGACGACGACGATCCAGCGTAATCCAGGCCCCCAGCGAATCTGTGTTCTTTCGTATGTGCCTATAGATTAGGCTTCCCAGGTCCACGGCCCCCAAAGAGTTCCCTCTGGGCCCCCAAAGCTCCAAGACGGTCCGAGAGGGCCTTGTCGCCTTGCGCTTGTGGGACATCTGTTTACTCGGGTACACACGATACCTGCGACGCCAGCTCCAACACGTGCGTTCAGGCGAGTTCTGTTAGATGTATGGGAGGAGGAGGAGGACGCAGAAGAGGAGGAGGAGGAGGAGGAAGACACGTGTCAAGTCCTGCATTCGAGCTGCGCCTTCTTCCCGACATGTTTTTTCGGGCGGCCGCCCCCAGCGCGACGGGCAAAGGCCGAGGGGGAGCTGGGCCCCCTGGCGGGACCGATGGGTTCGCGCCCCCGCCGAACGATTCCGTCGGCTACTTGATCAAGGAGCCGCACATCAGTTCCTACCCCAACAAGCAGTGGGACATCAGCATTGCCTCCAATCGCACTTGGGCCCGTGGGAAGAAGATATATTTGTGCCAGACGAATTCGGGCATCCCATACCCCGGCGTGCCAGGGCGTGCTCCCCCGCGAGCGACCTCATGGGTGATCCGCTTCGAGACGACGTATTTGGAGTGCCAGGACAGACCTGCCGACGGGCCCCCCGTTGCCCCCCGTCGCCCGCCCGCTCCGCCGGGCGCTGCCCCCCCCCTGCGGTTAGACCGTTGATCGCTAGTTGCCCCCTCCGAGCCGCGGGCCCAACGCTGGCCGTCCTTTGTTGGTCCCTGCGAGGAATTGGGGCGCGGCGACGAGTTCGACCAAACGTTCGATCACCACCGCGTCAGCCGAGAGTTGCTGAATCGCATGTACCCGCTCCCCCAGTACGCGGGCAGGCAGCTGTTCGCGTGGAAGTTCACGGACATCACCCCCGTGGCCCCGCGCTTGCTTCTCGCGCCGGTCAACGGGGCAGTGAAGAGCTTCAACTTCGCCATGGCCTTAGCAGTGCCCATGTAGCTGCGCGGCCAACCGCGCGCTCGGAGGCCGAGGGCAGCGTCGCCGCGTCGAGGGGGGCCCCTCCGGCGGCGCCGCGGCCGCGGATCTGACTCTGTCGTCGGCGCGGCCCGACGCGCTGCAGGCCTGCGCCGCTCATTTCTCACGGGGGCCGTCGCGCTCCAGGCCTACGCCGCATTTACAGCGCTGGTAGCGACGCGGGGTCGCGCGCGTTCCAGGCCTACGCCACCCTACGGCCACGCTACCGCGCCGACGCGATCGCACATCGCGGTGCGCAGTGCTGGCTTCGTTTCACCCTGCAATGATGTTTCTGCGACGTCTCAGTCGCGGACACCCTTTGCGATACAGAGCTTGCGTCAGAGCGGCCCGGAGACGAAAACATACTCCTGCTCCTGTGCTGCCACGGCCAGTGCGCGCGACTTCCGCGTCGCCAGCATCAGAAACAGCCGTGCCGCATCGCCCTTCCCCGCGGATGCGATGTCGTCGTCTTGGGCGCGTTGCCGCCAATGGGCAAGTTGATGGTTTGCGCTCGAGACATGGGGCTTGCTCGGGCGCGCTTGCGATTCAGATCCGATGCTGAAGGGGTGGCGGGCGACACGTTTTGGCATGTTTCCCAAGGGACGGCGCGGCACAGCGCAGCCCGACACAGACCCTGGCACAGTATCACCATCGTCGTTGCAATCCTAACCCGGACGAAACTGCGCCCAGAGCCCAGGGGCGAGAGGGGCTGAGAAGGACGAGGAGGAAGAGAAGAAGGAGGAGGAGGAGAAAGAGGAAGAGGAGGAGGCTTTCGGATCGAGGCCGGGCAGAGCGGCCGCCCGCGGACCGATCGTGGCAGCCAAGCGCTTGAGCGTGTTTGGTTTTCCTTGAGCCCTCGTAGGCCTTGAGAGCCCCCCAGAGGCTTCTGGATATATTGTGCGACCCCCGCTCAGACCGTTCAGGCCGCGCGAGCTTCAAATCCACGTCAATTTGGTCAGGGCTCCCACAGGACGGTTTGATCCACAATGACATGCTGCACAATACATTAACGCAAGGCAGGGCGCGCATTAAATCAGCGCAGCACGGCAGAGCGCAGCAGCCTGCCAATTTGTTGAAGGGGGCGGCATGGCTTCCTGCACGTGTCCACGCCGCTCACGGGGATATCTAACACGGAGGTCTCGTGGAGTGTTTCGTGAGGTGTCCCGTGCAATGTTTCGTGAGGTGTTTCGTGGGATGTTTCGTGAGGTGTCCCAGTGGATGTTTCGATTGCGATCAGCTCCAGGGTGAGTTCTGCATTCAGACAGCTCGGGCTTGAGATCCAAATTAGTTCGGCCAGGATTCGGAGGCCACGGGCGAGTTGATCCACAACGCACTTGAGCACAGCACAGTTCAGCGCACCATGGCAAATTCCAAGTCAGCGCAGCAGGGCACAGCACAGCCCCTGGCACAGCACATCGCCATCGACACCTTCAGCACTGCTTTGAAAACGCGTCTATGCTTTACAGTTCTAAATTCCTTTCCGGGTTCGTGGGTCGATCATGTTCCCGGAAAGGGCTCCGCCCTGAAGGGTTCTCTTTTAGTATGTAAACATGTCCCCGGTGCCCAACTTGAAGGAGGCCGGCGGATTCTTTCCCTGATAAATATCGAGGTCGAAGGAGGCCGGCGGATTAAAATTTGAGGATGTCTCAGGCGAAACGCTTGTTTTTGAAATCCCGATCGATAAATCACAGGGTGCGGGACACCTCAGCACGACCACACCCCCAGCATGACCCCAGCACCACACCCCAGCACGACCACGCCCCAGCACGACCACACCCCAGCACGACCACACCCCAGCACGACCACACCCCAGCACGACCACACCCCAGCACGACCACACCCCAGCACCAGCACGACCACACCCCAGCACGACCCGATCGATAAATCACAGGGTGCGGACCACCCCAGCACGACCACACCCCAGCACGACCCCACCCCAGCACGACCCCACCCCAGCACGACCACGCCCCAGCACGACCACACCCCAGCACGACCACACCCCAGCACGACCACACCCCAGCACGACCCCACCCCAGCACGACCCCACCCCAGCACGACCACACCCCAGCACGACCACACCCCAGAACGACCACACCCCAGCACGACCCCACCCAAGCACGACCCCACCCCAGCACGACCACACCCCAGCACGACCACACCCCAGCACGACCACACCCCAGCACCCCACCCCAGCACGACCCCACCCCAGCAAGACCACACCCCAGCACGACCACAGCACGCACCACAGCACGACCACACCCCAGCACGACCACGCCCCAGCACGACCACGCCCCAGCACGACCACGCCCCAGCACGACCACCCCCCAGCACGACACCCCCCCAGCACCACCCCCAGCACGACCACCCCCAGCACGACCACACCCCAGCACGACCACTCCCCAGCACGACCACACCGCCTTGGTTGAGTGGTTGCCTGTCGTCGTGGAATGTTTCGTGGGGTGTCTCGTGGAATGTTTCGCGGGGTGTCTCGTGGAATGTTTCGTGAGGTGTCTCGTGGAATGTTTCGTGAGGTGTCTCGTGGGATGTTTCGTGAAGTGTCTCGTGGGATGTTTCGTGAGGTGTTGCCCAGTTGGGTATCGTGAAAACGTGTCCATGCTCCACATGTCTATATCCCTTTCCGGGTTCGTGGGTCCATCATGCTTATATTCCGGGCCGATGAAGGCAATCATCTGGGGGGGGCGGAGGGGGCCGATGACGTCACGATTCGCGCTGGCGGCGTCTGGGAATGCCTGGGAATCACAGAGGACGGGTAGCAGCAGCGTGTCGGTGGCGATCTGCGCCACAACGCCTGTGTACACCATAGTGCCTGCGTGCAACACAGCGCTTGTGTCCACCACACTGCCTATGTACACCACAGCAGCCGCGTGCATCACAGCGCCAGTGTGTGCCACAGTGCCTGTTGGCACCACACCGCTTGTGTAAATCACAGCGCCTGCGTACACCACATCAGCCGTGCGCAACACAGCACCATTGTACACCATAATGCCTGCGTGTATTCAGCACGGCACCAGTGAATGGACCATTTTGCGGTGCACGCTGAGACGCGCACGTGCGCTGTAGTGCCGACCCGCACGACAGGGGGGAAGTGTGAGGGAGGAGGACGAGGAGGAGGAGGAAGAGGACGAGGAGGAGGATGAGGCGGAGATGGAGGAGGGAGGAGGGGAACACGTCGCATTCTATTCTCAGCATTTCCCTGGCGTGGCGTTTAGCTGTCCTCACCAGATCCTCACCGACATGCTCCTTCTACCTGTCCTGTGCACGCAGGCACTCTGGTGTACACCAGCGCTGCGTTGCACGCGGATGCTGCGATGTATACAGGCGCTGTGGTGTGCACAGGCGCTGCGGTGCACGTAAGCATTGTGGTGTAGACAGTCGCTGTGTTGCACATGGCTGCTGCGGTGTACACATTCGCTGTGGTGTACACAGGCGCTGTGGTGCACGCAAGCACTGTGGTGGACACAGGCGCTACGTTGCACACCTCTGTTGCGGTATACGCAGGCGCTGTGGTGTACACAAACGCTGTGGTGCACGCGAGCACTGTGGTGTACACAGGCGCTGTGGTGCAGATCGCCACCTGCACGCTGGTCGCGTCGTCGTCGTCGCCGTCGTCGCCGTCGTCGTCGTCGTCGCCGTCGTCGCTCGTCGCTCGTCGCTCGTCGCTCGTCGCTCATCGTCGTCGTGCGCGCGGGCATGGCTGTGGTGCCGGAGCCGCACGGCGGGGGGGGGCGGCGTTACGTCATATCCCCCCCGCCCTCCCCCACCCCCACATGACGCCCGTCATCGCCGATGATGAAGAAACGCTCTCGCAGAGACTGCCTGGGGGGGCTGCCTGTGCGGAAGCCGAAGCCTCACCATCCTCGGGCCTCTCCGGGCTGCCAGTGTTGCCTCTTCCCGGTGCCGATGCGGCGGGCAGTGCAGAGCGAGGAACGCCCTGATGCCCTCGGCAGGGCTCGACCTAAACGGTGTTTGGGCGAATTCGTGGGCCGTTGTCGTTTCGGCTTCGTTTTTCCCGGAAAGGGCGCGGGCCCAGGGTTCTCTTTTAGTAGGTTAACCCCCCGGCCCCCCTGCGACCTGGGCCGGCGAAATTATTTTGCGAGCGGGCACGCACGGAGTAGGGCCAGCGAAATTATGTTTGAGGATGTCTCGAGCGAAACGCTTGTTTTTCAGAATTTGTCGAGGATGTCTCGAGCGAGACGCTGGTTTTGCAGAGTTGGGGATGTCTCGAGCGAAACGCTTGGTTTCAGAATTTGTTGAGGATGTCTCGAGCGACACGCTGGTTTTGCAGAGCCGACCGCGACACGGAAAAGCGCCCCTCGCGCAGGAATTCCAAGGATGTCTCGCGCGTGCCGCGTCCCGCGCGCGGGTATTTGGATTTCTTGGGATTTTGACAGGATGTCTCGAGCGAAACGCTTGTTTTTCCCCGAAAGGGCCTGAGCCCAGGGTTCTCTTTTAGTTGGTTTCCCTCCGGTTTCGACGGCTGTAGGGCCGGCGAATTTCTTTTGCGATAAATAACGAGGTCGCGTAGGGCTGGCGAATTAAAATTTGAGGATGTCTCGAGCGAAACGCTTGTTTTTCAGAATTTGTTGAGGATGTCTCGAGCGAGACGCTTGTTTTGTATTATAGATTGTCCTCTCCTGGGGACTTGAATTCTGAGGATCTCTCAAGTGGATTGCTTGTTTTCACGTGCCCAGGTCTTGAGGATGTCTCGAGCGAGACGCTTGGTTTCACGCCTCCAGGTGGCCCAGACAGATGTCTAGCATGAGGATTTGTTGAGGATGTCTCGAACCAGAGGCTTGTTTTCACGTGTCCAGGTCGCCCAGGCGGATGTCTAGCATGAGCATTTGTTGAGGATGTCTCGAGCGAGACGCTTGTTTGCACGTGTCCAGGTTGCCCAGGCGGATGTCTAGCATGAGGATGTGCTGACAACGTCTTGAGCGAAACGC